TACTTAGAAGTTTTATAGAATTCTAGGGAGAGCCTGGTAGCAGAATTGACAGACTCATTTATGACTTTAGAATGGACCGAATATTGACTCAGCCCATTAACCTAAAGTGTTATATGTATTCCAGAGGTTGGGAGAGAGGAGGAAGCCATAGTATAATTTGTCCTAATCTTGAATCCCTGGTGATGGCTCTCATTGAAAGTATTTGTGGGTTTGCCCTGGCTGGTGTGGCTCAGTTGGTTGGGTATTGTCTGATCCACCAAGAGGTTATTGGTTCAACTCCTGGTCAGGGCACATGCCCTGGTTTCGGGCTGGATCTCAGTAGGGGCATGCAGGAGGCAGCCTATCAACATTGCACTCTCACATCGATGTTCCTCTCTTCTTCCTTCCTCTCTCTCTCTCTCTAAAAAAAAAAAAAAGAAAGAAAATCAATAAACTATTCTTTAAAAAAAAAAAGAAGAAGAAAAACCTATCCCTGAGTTTAAATATTTTAAAATACTTCTTGCTCCTCCTTAAATGTTCGGATTCCTGAAATAAGGGAGAGATTAGAAGGAGGTGAATATAATGGATCCCCTCTATTCAGTGCTTCAGTTTTAATACTATTCATTCTAAATTTATACTATGATTGTTGGTGTAAGGATAGACACAAGACCAGTGGAACAGAATGGAGACTCCAGAAGTAGACTCACTCATGTATGGTTAACAGATTTACTACAAAGGCACGATTATAATTCAACTAGAGGCCCAGTGCATGAAAATTTGTGCACTCGGGAGGGGGGGAGATCCCTCAGCCCAGCCTGTGCCCTCTCACAGCCCAGGATCCTTTGGGGGATGTCCACCTGCCATCTCAGACTCACTCCCCAGGGGATTGGGTCTAAGCAGCAGTCAGACATCCCTTAGTGCTGCTGAGGAGGAAAGAGAGGCTCCTGCCATTGCCACTGAGCTTGCAGCTGTCAGCCCTGCTTGTGGCTGAGCAGAACTGCCCCTGTGAGAGCGCACTGACCACCAGGGGGCAGCTCCTGCATTGAGCATCTGCCCCCTGGTGGTCGGTGCACATCATAGTGACTGGTCGTTCCGCCATTAGGGTCAATTTGCATATTAAACTTTTATTACATAGAATAGGAAAAGGATGGTCTTTGCAGCAAATGATGCTAAGGCAAGTGGATGTCCTTTGGGGGAAGTGCATGAACCTAGACCTCCGCTTCATAGCACACACAAAAATTAATTCAAGATGGGTCACAAACCTAAAGCGAAAGGTGAAACCATAAAGTTATAGGAGAAAACAGGAGATCTCTCCGGACTTGGGCTAGGCAAAAATTTCTTTAACCGGACACAAACCATAAGTGAAAAAACTTGGGTGGGGAGGGAGGGGGGCGGAAGAGAGAGAAACATGAGAAATTGGACTACATTAAAACAAAGACTATCTTAGTTTTTAATTTTATGCCCTGAGAAGAATCCATAGCATGCCCTGGCGGGAAATCAGGCAGGAAAGCTTCCCTGCGCCCTCTCTGACTGGACCGAGACAGGTGACTAACTGCCTGACTGGAGGGAGACATGCAGGTTAAACTCAGGGCTTTGCTGTGAGGCTGAGACCTCCCAGTGAAGACGCCTTACAATCCTCGTGTGGCTCTGATTCGTGAAAGGCAGCTTTGTTCCAAGCCCTCCAAATCCCTTCTCGGAACAGTCCCTTGAGATCCCCTGAGCTTTGATGTCATCCTGCTAAATCCTCGTGTGGAAAAGAGGACAAAGCCACATGGGGGCCCTCAGAGAGGTGAGCGAAAGTATAATAGTTCAAAGTCCAGCAGATCCGGTCCTCTGGTGTCCAGGCCTTGCCGTCCCAGGGCCCGGGAGGAAGCCTGGGGTGTGGTGAGGCCCGGCCCAGAGCTTTGCAGGGTCCTGTGTTGGTGCCCTCAGACGAGGAAGCATCGGAGACAGAGCCAGAAACACACATAAACACAGCTTCACCGGGCTACCACATCCACATTTGCAACAGAAAAGCCAAAACCCCCGGGCCAGCATAGAGGCTTCCTCTTTAGGCCTATGGTGCGGAGAGAAGGAAGCATGGAATATATTTTGGGCTTTCAAAATTCTGATTGTTTTGCACATTCTTGCAAAGAGGAGGCGGGAGGAAAAAAAAAAATGCCCCAGGGATTGCTAACAAAAAATATCAGCTTCTAATACTTCAGATGAGTGGGGAAAATCTTACATGCTGGGAGCATTTCCTTTCTGTTTCGAGAAATTAATGGTGTGCTGGAAATAGCCTGCTGCAAAAGGGGAGACTTCGTGTCCCTTGAACGCTGATGATGCCAGAAAACTTTCCAGGCCTAAGGACTCTGAGGCCCGCTGACCCTGCGGTTAGACATTCGGCTGCAAGACACAAGGCGACAGAGAGCTGAGGTTCAGAGTGAATTCTTTTTTTTTTTTTTAATTGATTTCAGAGAGGAAGGGAGAGGGGCAGAGAGATAGAAACATCGGTGCTGAGAGAGAATCATTGATTGGCTGCCTCCTGCACCTCACACTGGGGACTGAGCCTGCAATCCGGACATATGCCCTGACGGGGAACCAAACCCTGACCTCCTGGTTCATTGGATGATGCTCAACCATTGAGCCACACCGGCATGGCTTTCTGAGGGGATTCTTAACTCATTCACTTGAGAAGTGCACTGAGCCTGATAGGTTTGGTGCCGGAGTGGTGGCTGTCTGACTGGGAGCCCAGGCCCCCAACTCCGCTCCCTCCTCTGTGGACTGTCCCTGGTCTCTCTGGGGCACTGGGGGCCTGAAACCTGGCATTCAGAGTTAGAAGGAAAATTCCAAGTCCCACCTGATAAAAATAGGTGTGCCTGTCTCTCCTGCAGACGTTGCGGAGCTGGCACCTCAGTAAGAAAAGAGCAGGGAGGCCAGATCTTTCAGTGTCCGTTGGCTTCCAAAGCATTGCATTTCACCCTGGCAGAGAGCTCAGTTGATTAGAACGTGGTCCTAATGTGCCAAGGTTGTGGGTTCGAACCCCCTCAGGGCACATATGAGAACCTATCAATGACTGCATGAATAAGGGGAACAATAAATCTTGTTTCTACATACACACACACACCTTCTTCTCTTTCTAAAATCAATGAAAAATAAATTTAAATTGAAAGGTGTTGCATTTCAGAGCTGAACCAGAAATCATCCACAGAGTTTATGTGCATCTGCTCTGGGTAACGCGTAACACATTGAAGTCCTGAGACTTTCCAGTAATGTCTTATCTAGGTTTGGTCGCCTCTCAGTTGATTAAAGCAGGGATTGCACGTCTTCTGTGTAGAGCCAAATGGTAAATACTTTAGGCCAAACAGTCTTTGCCACAAATGCTCCACTCTGAGCATGGCTGTATTCCAATAACATTTTTAAAAATATATTTTTAGAGCAAGGGAAAGAGAGAGATAGAAACATCAGTGATGAGAGAGAATTATTGGTTGGCTGCCTGCTGCATGCCCCCAACTGGGGATTGAGCCTGCAATGTGTCCTTGATCAGAATCGAACATGGGACCCTTCAGTCTGCAGGTCAATGCTCTATCCACTGAACCAAACGGGCCAGGGCCCAGTAACATTTGATATTATGGACAATGAACTGTGAATTTCTTAACTTTTTCACATTATGAAAGCCCAGTGCATGAAATTTGTGCAAGAGTAGGCTTTCCTTCCCCTGACTGCTGGCACCATCTTCCCTTTGGCACCCGGGACTCAGGCTTCCCGCGCAGAGAGGCCTCGCCTACCCACTGCAGCCCGCTGGTTGGTGGTCTGGGCCTTCCTCTTTGGGGAGATCATGCGGTGATGGCCAGGCCCCCAACCAATCGCATCACGCCCATCTTGGCTGACCTGGTACCAGTGGGTGTCATAGTGTGGTCCCACATGGTCGTCCAGATAGTTGTTCCGCTCTTTGGCTGTTTGGTTAATTTGCATATTATGCTTTTATTATATAGGATTCTTTTTTTCTTTTTTTTTCCCCAACCACGTAAAGCTGTAAAGACCACTCACAAGCCATGTAGAAACAAGTAACAGGATAAATTTGGCCCACAGGCCAGAGTTTGCCAACCCCAAGACTTCTTCTATCACAAAAAGGGTGCATACATTGATGTTGGTGCTAAGGACCTTCTTACTGGCAGGGATATGATAGAGAAGGCCGAGGGGAGGGGCGTGTGCCAGGACCGAGGGGATAAGAGGTGTCACTCTGGGCTCTCCCTGGGTGGTCCCACACCCAGGACTCAAATCAGACAATGCTTTCCACAGGTGCCCCCACTTGCCAATGCCCGCTGCCAGTGACCTGGAACCTGAGAATCCTAGAAAGACTCCTCTCCGTGGGGGCCCTGGTCCCACACAATAGCTCTGTCACCGCTTCCCTTTCACCCACTGCCTCCTCCTTCCACCTTCTTCCTTAACACTTGGGCCACTACCGTTCAGAAGTTTCTCCCAGGGTACACAGCACCTCATATTAATCTCTTTGATGAGAGTTACCATCCCTGCCTTATCACCACTGACTCAGACCCCAAGCTTCATAAGGCAGGGACCACCTACCATCTTCTCCGGGTACTCAGCACATTTTCAAATATCTTCGTACATTGTCTATGTTGCCGCCCCCCTTTCCTCCCCTCCCCCCCCAAAAAAATACTGGTAAACAAGAAAGAAAAACATGGAACATTTTGGAACTAAATTTTCACTGTATTAACTGGAAAGACCCAGTAATGCAAAACAGCTGGTAAGTTCATTTAAGCATGATTTGAGAGTAGAAAATCTTATGAACAATAGAATTTTCTTCCTAGTTATTTTTGTGTTCGTCTGGATGTGCACATTCTCAAACCATCGCTTACAGTCATGCTGGTGGCCAAGGTTTGCCGGCCTGGTCTTTGAAATGTGCTTCAGATCATTTGCAGAGGGGAAAGCGTCATGAACATAATCAAGTGTTGATCTCCTAGCATGCTGACGCTGAAGGTTGTTTAAAATTTCATTTGGCTTTGTGCCCTCTCTTGTAGGTCCTTCCATTGTGACTCCCCCCAAGAACATCTGGAATGTCACTGGTGCCAAGGTGTACTTGAGCTGTGAGGTCATCGGAATCCCAACCCCTGTGCTCATCTGGAACAAGGTCAGTGACACAGACTTTAAGAACACACCCTGGACTGGCCTGCTCCTCTCACTGCATAAGGACGGTACTAACCTAAAACCCTCAGCTGGTTCCATTGCCTGCTGCTCCTCCATGAAACCATGGCAATCTTCTAGAAACGTCCCTGGGCTCAAACCAACATTTTTACTGACCTCCAAATAGCCCCTGCTCTTGCTTTTGTTAGCAGTGCTGGAGCAGGGAGCCAAGGGAACCGGGAAACTATAATGCTGGACGCCCAAACTCACCCTAGGTGTGCATGTGTGTGCATGTGTGAGCATGCCTGTGCTTCAGTATGCATGTCAGCATGTGCGTGCATGGGGGCGGTGCTCCTTGGAGGGTGATTTCCTTAGCCAGGTCAGCTGAGTTCTAAGTCAGGGTTTCTTAGCCTCAGGCACTGTTGATATTTTGAGACAGATAATTCTGTGCTGTGGGGGCTGCCCGGTGCCTTGTAAGGTGGTTAGCAGTATCCCTGGTCTCTGCCCATTATATGCCAGTAGCACCCACCCCCTCAGTTGTGACAAACAGGTCTCCAGACATTGCCAAATTCCCCCCAGGGGGAAAAATTACCTAGTTTGAGAGTCACTGTCCTAAGCCTCTGTTTCCTCCACTGTGTCATGAAAGTAGCTTATATTATAATTCTTGAAAAGATTATATAAAGGCAGGTAAGATCACTTGGTTTGTCAGATATGTCGTTGGAACTGCTTATTAGTTACTATTCCTGGAAATGTTTCCCTTCAGGTGGTATTATTTTGTGTAACTATCTTCTGATTTGAAGGACAACATATTCTTAGCATGTCTGTAGAAGGTCAAATACTTAACAATTGCACTGCACAGTATTTTATATTTCCCTATTTGTGTATTTTGACTTGTTTTTAGCAACCCCCTCCCCCACAAAAATCCTGTTAAGTAAATTTCATCAGACTAGTGCAAACAAAAAGGAAATCTATTTCTGTATAAAAGGGTAACCAGACACTTATTTGTAGCAGGTTTACTTCTCCAGCAAGTTCTAAGATGAATGATGGTACCTCGGTGATTTTGTTTGCTCGGTGTCTGACCAGAGGAGCAGTTTCTGGAACTCTGGGAGAGATTTTGGCACCAGAACTCTTTTTGTTGCAAGTTGTAGAACTCATTTCAAACTAGTCTAGGCAAAAATAAGGCGGTGGGTGGGAGGAGGTTGAGTGGGTGGTGACTCCAACTTCAAGGGCAGCTGGATCCAGGTACAGTGAGCCCAGCCTCTTGGCTCTGGACTCTGCTCCCAATGTTCTGGTTTTATTCTCTGCTTCCTCCACACTGGGAGCAATACTGTCACTGGAGCGCCAAGTGCACATGATCACGGCTTCGTGGTCCCAGAGGAAAATTTGTTCCCTTCTACTGCATTGTACAATTCCCCCTGGAGGGCCTTGATTCACATTGGGTCACTGGCCAACCTCTGACGCCCCCATGTGGCCAGAAGGCTGCACCGCCCCCATCGGACCCTCTGGTGGGAATGAAGTGAGCTTTTTTTTCCGGAAAATGCCTGGGGGTGGGCAGAGACAGCACCAGCTGCATTACAACTATCTTTTGCAGCTGGAATTTGTTAAAGGAAGCAGTGAAATTTATTTCACCTCAATAAGTTATTTTTTTTAAAGAGGAGTGGGAAGCAATGAAGAGCAAAAATGCAGCTGATGGGCATGTACCTTCTGGCCTTCATGGCGAAAGCTGCTGCTGTTCCTCCTTGCTTGTTAGGCGGCTACTGGTTTGTTTGGGGGGGGGGGGGGGGCAGAGGAACAATATTTCCTAAGAATGTCCATACAAAGCTCTGCAGCGCTCGAGGGATTATACAGTGGAAGCCAGGGTGACCCAAGGCGTGTGACCTATTGACAAATCGGGCAAAATAATTTCTCCAGCCCTTTCTCTGCCCCTCCCCAGCTAACGGACACATACCAGGGGAATACATCTGCCCAGGGAATCTTTTCCTTTAAGCTTCCCGGATTGTGTGGGGCAGATCCCATGGGCTTCCTTAGGGCTTGTCAACTGGGGGGAACGGGGGTTGGGGGACAGGAAAAAATAATTTTCTACAAACTTGCCAGAAACAAGCAAAAACGCAGCTGCTAGGCTCTGCTGATTTCCCTCTGTCTTCAGCGTGTAATTTGCCACATGGGTGGCATAAAGCAGCTGTTTCAACCTGCTGGTCATGAACCACCAGCGAGTTCTGAGTGTAATGTAGGAATCACAGCCAGCATTTTCTTAAAAATAAAGGGCAGAAAATATCTTAAGGCATCATGTTTAGTAAAGGCATCATGTCCTAAAACCTTCCTTTTGTATGTTCCACATCACAATGCAAAATGTATTTCTTACTTTGAGCCATGTCAATTCACTTTAAAAGTCATGACTTAAACAATTGAACAGGACTTTTGTTTTCTCCCCACTGTCCTTGTATAATAACCAAACTGCTGAGAATACAGGCTTTCTATGCATTCCCATGTCCCACTCCACTCTAAGCACAGAACTGGTTTGGGGGTGTGAGCAGGAGAACACGGAGGTTCAGAGGTGGCATGTCTTTCATGCTCACGGACTCTCAGCAACACCTGAACTAACAGGACACGCCTCTCTCCAGACACCAGGTGAAGCAACACTTCCGTGGTGGTCACAGCCTGATGCGTGGTCTGTGGTTTCCTGATCAGTAGTTATCTTATGATGTTAACCTGAAACGTAGGTATGTGCCCTGTCTGGGAACCGAACCCTCAATCTTTTGGTTCTGTATTTAACTCAACCTACTGTTTTTCACTGATGAGACTGTTGCAAAAAGAACCCCTGACACCTGGGCTCCTGCAAAAGATCCCAAGCACCAAACCTACCTATTGTAATACCACTGCCATTCAAACACGTCTGTGTTTTTTTTTTTTAATATTATATATTATATATATATATATATTTTTTAATATATTAATTTTTTACAGAGAGGAAGAGAGAGGAATAGAGAGTTAGAAACATCGATGAGAATCATGGATCAGCTGCCTCTTGCACACCCCCTACTAGGGATGTGCCCGCAACAAGGCACATGCCCTTGACTGAAATTGAACCTGCGGCCCTTCAGTCTGCAGGCTGAAGCCCTATCCACTGAGCCAAACCAGTTTCGGCTCAAACACGTCTTGGCAAACAAGAAAAGGCCCAGCACAGAGAAGCAGGACTTATAAGGGCATGGGTGAACGATGGTGTCCAGTGGCAGGAGTATGATGTATTGTATATTCCCCAAGCATGCAGAAAAATACATTAATACATAAAGGTTATACAATTTAAAATATAGGGAGGGAAACGGACAGGAAGAAATGGGGATCTGTATTTTATGTACCTGCTCAGAAAAAGGTAATATGAAAAGTGCTCATTTTAATCCAGCCAAAAGGTCTGATGTAGTCCCTGTGCCATTATAGAAATGTGGCCACTTCCAAGTGGATGATTCAGGGCAGAGGATGCAGACTATTTCTCTTTTTTGCAGGTAAAAAAGGACGATAACAGATTTCACAGGACAGAACTCTTGCCTGGTGACCGGGACAACCTGGCCATTCAGACACGAGGCGGCCCAGAAAAGCATGAAGTAACGGGCTGGGTGCTGGTGAGTAGCAGGAGCTGGCAAGGCTCTCGTTGTTGGAATTAGACTCTCACAGACCTGACCCATGCATTAAGTACTTTAATCAATTACTGATTAATACTTATTTTACTAAACCTTTGATAGTTGTAGATACTGTGTAGTACCAAGATCATACACCCACCCTATCAAGGTCTTCCTCCAACTGCCCTGTGCACCCCTCCAGTTGTTAACCTCTGCAACGTGACCAAAAGTTATCAGTAGCATTTCCTCAGCATCTCCCCAGCAGACCAAATCCAGTAGTTGTGTAATTCTCCTAGGATGGGACTAGCACTATTTCTAGCAGTATCTTTGCTGTGAATTCCCTAGTCATCTTGGGAAATAAAACGACTCCATTGAGACCACTAGAGATAAAGGACTAGCACAGAGGCACTGAAGGTTCTTTCCCATCCACAGCTATCTCCACTCAGTAAGGAAGATGCTGGAGAATATGAGTGCCATGCATCCAACTCCCAAGGACAAGCTTCAGCATCAGCAAAAATTACAGTGGTCGACAGCTTACATGAAATACCAGTGAATAAAGGTAGGTACTAACCTCAAGGCCACTTAAGGACTAGTGCTTTTGCTTAATGAAGAACAGAACCAAGTTAGAAAGTATCCAACAGCCCTTAATGAGATTCTGTAATGTCAGGAATCCACAAGGGCATTAAGTGTATAATCAAATTAGAGCACACAGCTCCAGAAGTACATCCGGGCCGGTGATGGAATGCTGTTATTACAGTAGACTCAGATGCTTTCAGCTTATACATGAGACAAAAACTTAAACTTGACTGGGATGGCTTCCATTCCCCATGACTATCCACATGGCATTTTTCCTTGGTGTTCTGACTATTATATTAAATTCCCATTTAAAAGGAAATGATTGTGGGTCCTTCCCTTTGAGCTCATTATTTTAAAAAGCCAGAGAGGAGAGTATACTGGCAAGTACCCAAATCTGTTCTGCTTCTATCCACTCTCGTGTCAAAGCTTCCTCTTAAGCACCCATCCTAGTAATATCAGAATGATACTACTTTACATGTATACAGTTCTATTAGACTGCTGTCTGGATTGGCTGTTCCTTAAGCCAAAAATAAGAAAAAAAATCATCAGCATTTGTCAAACCATTCATCTGTGTGGATCACTCTATCTGTGGTATGAAAAGAAGAAATATAAGTAAAGATGTTTGATCAGATTCTCTTTGGCCAAGATGTGTAAAACCAGGAGATGAAACAGATAAGAGCTAAGAGTCGTGTTTGAGTCTCAGCTCTGCCCCTAACTATTCCACTTTACATTGTGAATGACAGACAGCAGGATAACAAAGGAAAGGTCCTTAGCCTCTCTGGATTTCAACTTGCTGGTTTGTGAAATGTGCTCTGCCAATTCTATAAAGTCCATCTCTCGCCCTGGCTGGTTGGGCTCAGTGAACAGAGCATCGGCCTGCGGACTGGAGGGTCTGGGGTTTGATTCCTGTCAAGGGCACATGACTGGGTTGCAGGCTCAATCCCCAGTAGGGGGTGTACAGGAAGCAGCCGATCAATGATTCTATCTCATCATTGATGTTTCTACCTCTCTCTCCCCCCCTCACTTCCATTCTGAAATCAATATAAAAACGTCCAACTCTTACACCTAGACCAATACAACAAAATTGTCTTCCCACATTTAAAACCGTATAGCTCAAATTCTAAAGAGCACTCCACCACCTGTCATCTATACAGTTACATATTCTTTATCCCCCACATTTTAATATCATTTATTTGGAAACACTAAGCTACCTAAAAATTAGATATGTGTTATATGTATATATATATGTAACTTTTTTTTCTTTTTTTTTAAACAGGTGAAAGTGCCAAGCTATAAACCTGAAGAATATATTAGTCTACATAGCTAAATGTAGTCATGGATAACTACTACCCTGTTCTTGCCTAATAACCAGTTTCTTTTCATCCAGTCCACTAACACCTTAGTTATATTCACCGACTTTACATAAAGATAACACATCAAGACTATCTACAAAAATTTATTACCTATTTACAGAAGAAAAGCATGCATATCATCAAACAAAACAAATAAAATGCTTTTTCTCACAATGGAACACATATTTGTTATTTTTAAAAGCCGTATCATAAAAATAAGACACAAAAGGCATTTATAAGGGTCTTTTTGAGAATCTTTTGAAAGAGCTAAACACTCATCATTCGAGGTGCAATACTCATAGACATAAGCTCCTGAAACAACAGTTTGCATGCATAAGGCATTCGCACCAAAGAAATCTGAAAGAAAGAGAAAAAAAGTAATTAGCAAAGTTATACTGAAATGAGCCTACTTCCCTACCCCAGAAAAAGGTAAAGACTTGGTGCTGAAGATGATGAGTAAATGAGGAGGTTGATAAAACTTATTCTACTAACTTGGCCCAAGGTGATTCTTTCTCCTAATAGGCTTTGGTATTTGACCCTTTCTGCCAGACATAAGCACCCTCCTTAAATAAAAGGCTTTTTAAAAACCCACTTTTAAAAAGTTCTTGTACAGGCCTTTTCTGAAAAAATGAACAGTTTAGCGATTTTAACACAGTAAAGTTTAAACTGATTTTTAGAAAAGACAAATTTTTTTCTCATTTAAAACTAGGAATCTTACAGAGGCATGCTATTCAAAATTGTGAAAATGCCAATCTGTCCCATCACACTAAATCTGCTTGCGTAATTAGCCCAACATGGTTATATCCTAAACAGTTAACAACTGGCCAGAAAGTCTATACGCACCTGGGTTTTATTCCGACAGCCCCTGCATTCATACGTATGGGTCCTGGTGTTAGCAATCGCCATTATTCCACAAAGATTGCAAACATGAACCTGATATGGATCTGATGCCTCAAACAGTCTTTCCCTTAAAAACTGGGCTGCCCCATGGGCAATCTGACAGTCTCGTTCCATTTCTCCAAAACGCAGGCCACCATCCCTGTTAAGAGAAAAAGATTATTTTGTATTATTTTCTACTATAAAATTTGTGCACAGGTACCATCCCTAGGCATGGCTGGCGATCAGGTTCCCTGCCTCTCCACCTCCTTCCCTCACAACCTGAACGCCTCCCCAACACTGTTTCCCCCCACTTCCTCCTTCCTCTACTCCCTCAGCACCCCGCCATGGTCTGCACTGCCCTCTAGTGGTCAGCACACATCATAGCAAGCGAATGAGCTCCCATTCTCCTGGTCGAACTCCCCAGGGGGCACTTTGCATATTAACCTTTCTTTTTTTTTTCTTTTTTCTTTTTTTAATATATTTTATTGATTTTTTACAGAGAAGAAGGGAGAGGGATAGAGAGCCAGAAACATTGATGAGAGAGACATCGATCAGCTGCCTCTTGCACACCCCCCACTGGGGATGTGCCCGCAACCAAGGCACATGCCCTTGACCGGAATCGAACCCAGGACCTTTCAGTCCGCAGGACGACGCTCTATCCACTGAGCCAAACCGGTTTCGGCCATATTAGCCTTTTATAAATACAATTTTCCTCATAAAATACAATGAAATTCAGAATTGAGTCTCATTATGCTATCATTTAACTTACTAGAATTCAACTCTGTACTCAAAAATGAGTAACAAAATTTGATCTCAATAAAGTAGCTTTTCAATGAATGAGTCTCCAGGCAATCAAGCCTGAAATAATAAACTGCTGGTGGCAAAAGGAGTGGAAAGAACGAGTGAATGGAAGGTTTTCCCAGCATGGGGGTGAAATACAAATTGTTCAGATCACCACACTGGTGGATGGATGGTGATAGCTTCCTTAGTATTCTTAATACACAAAAACATGAAATCAGTTGAGTTTCTAATGTTATTACCAAAAAACAAATCACTGGTCAACTTTGAAGGATGCTAGATAACCAACTCATTAACTGATAAACAAAGGGAAAGAAACAAACATTTATCTTGCCTTTACTATGTGAACTACGTCACTGATAATGATGCAGTTCTCTTACCGGGATCTACCCTCCATGGGCTGTCTGTTAAGGATCTGAATAGGCCCCCTAGCACGAGAATGAATCTTATCATCCACCATATGCTTCAAACGCTGGTAATAAGTGGGGCCAATGAAAATTTGTGATGTGATTTTTCTACCAGTGAATCCATTGTACAAGACCTGAAACAGATTTTGAAGCATAAACTTAAAAATATTGAACAAGTTCAAAGAATATATGGACATATACTGTATGATTCCATCTATATAAAAATCAAAACAGAAAAAATAATCTATACTGTTAGATGTCAATAGAGTGGAGGGGGGAAGCTAGTTACTGGAGGGAGACACAAGAGGGGGCATCTATGCATAAAAGTGTTCTGGTCATTTAATTTTCAGGATGTGGAGGCCAGTCACATGGGTATGTTCACAAGCTCTACATTTATAATGTGTACACATATTTGAAGTTTAATAAAAGGTTTAAATTCTTTAAAAATGAAACTACATTGATACAGCCATTCAATGGAATAAAATGTAAGCATACAAAATAAGGGCCTGGCCAATGTGGCTCACTGGTTGAGTGTCAACCTATGAACCCGGAGGTCACGGTTTTATGCCAGGGTTGCAGGATTGATTCCCAGTAAGGGGCATGCAGGAGGCAGCCGATCAATGATTCTCTTTCATCACTGATGTTTCTCTCTCTCTCTCCTCTCCCTTCCTCTCTGAAATCAATAAAAATATGTTTTAAAAAAAATAATGAAACTACACACATACTAAAAAATACATAAGCACCAACATACCTCATTTCCTCTGAGATGGTAGCCATAATCAGACAAAAGGTTAGAAATCTTCTGCACATTAACGGCATCATTAAATGGAGTGGCATCACCAATTTCACCCTTGTTAGCTGAAACCTTTACCAAAAAAAGTAATCTTTAAGAGGCTGTTTCCTTCAATTTTCCCTTAGAAAGCTGTATCAAAAATATGTTCATTAAAAAAATCATTCTGAACTTTAAAAAAATCTGTTATGGAAAGCTATAATATAATATAGTAGGTTCATTTTATTAACACAGTGTTTATAATTAATTTACCTAAAAAATAAAAACTCAATTATAACTCTTCAAATAGGAAGCCATCCATGAGAACAGTTAAAAAAAAAAAAAAAAAAAGAGAGAGACTCCTAAACACTTCCTATGTCTCAAGGAAAATACATTTTAATGCCCTAAAACCAAGTCCTCTACTTGTTAGGCTGCAGCCATTCTACCCTAACAAGATACTTAAAAAATAGAAAAACCTCTACTGAAAAGTGCAAACACAGCTAATAATATAGCTATAAATTTAAGTTCTCAACAAACTAACCACCAATGAGTTAACTCTTATCTATAGAAAAGAACCAGTAAAAAGGGTAACCAAGATATATCTATGTGTATATATATATTGCTTTGATATAGTAAATATTATAAAAATTCTGACTTAGCCATAACTGCAAATTTTTGCAAAAAGAAAAAAGGCATAATTAATCATAAACAATTTGTGACTGGTTGTGATTATGCCACATTAGCTTTTTCCAAAGTATCTTGAGTCAAATATAAGAGAAATCACCTATGATAATTTTGGAAAGAACATCGTTTGGAACCCATATTGTTAAAGAAAACCTCTTACCTTCCCTTGAAGACATTCAATCAAGTGACCAATTGTCATACGAGAGGGGATGGCATGGGGATTTATGATGATATCAGGGGTGATTCCTTCGCAGGTGAAAGGCATATCCTATAAATGAATTTAAAAAAAAAAAAAACTTAAACTTAAATCTCTTAGCTATGGAATAAGAACTGATCCCTCTTATCTGAACTTTTCTGTGTCCTAAATTCTGTTCAATACAGTATGCTCGTATATTTATTCAACACTAAAATTAAAAGTCAAGCCTTTATCACCTATGGACTCTTATGTTAAATCATTTGATTTATAAAATGTTCAACAAAACTCTGGGTTAAGAGTGAGGCAGATACAAGATGGCTGCTCGGGTAGGCAACTAGCCGCAGCCGCACACAACAATTTCAACAAAATACAACTAAAATATAAAATGGACATTACCCAGAACTACAGGCAAGTCGACTGACTGGAAATTCTACAAGAAGCAAGGAGAAAACCAGAAGGAAGCGCGGAGGAGCTGTAAAAGCCCAAGGTACGGAGACACGTGGCGCACGCGCGGAGAGGACAGAGCCGGAGAGGAGGGAGGCCGAGTGCCTGGCTGGTGGTCCCAAGCGGGAAGGAGAGAAAAGCTCCGACTGTGCTGGGCCCAGCTCCAACTGCTCTGAACCCCAATTCTAGGCCAGACCCCCGGGACCCAGGCTCATCCATAGGGAGCCGGGCTGTAAGGCGGGACTCCGGGGAAGCGGTGAAAGGAGGTCCCGGAGGCGCGCACACTGCGCGCAGAGAAGGGCCGGCTGGCTGTGCCGCGGGATTGCCCTGACGGGAAGGAGACAGGGGCTCCAGACTGCTCTGAACGCCACCTCCAATCCCAATACCAACTGAACTGAACCCCAATACCGGACTCATTGGGGGAGAGCATAGACAGTTTGGCAGCAGGCGAAAATCGAGGGCACCTTTCTCTCAGAGGCGCTTGCAACAAGTACTGAAGGACCCTGAGTCTCAGGAGTAGCATAGGGCGGGGTTGACGGAAGCCAAGGCTGTAGGCTCCACCCTGAAACCCCGCCCCATCAGGAAAGCTGCCTGCGAAAACGCCTAAACCAAATAGATCACAAACGAAAGAAATGGAGGACAAAAAGCGACTGGATATAGAGTTCAAAACCACACTTATAAGGTTGTTCAAGAATCTCCTAGAAAAGGCCGATAAAATAAACAAGACCTATGAGGATATGAAAAGGGATCAACTAGAAATAATAAGAGATCAACAAGAAATAAAGAATACATTGTCTGAAATAAAAAATATTTTAAGGAGTCCTAAAAACAGAATGGAAGATCGCAAGAATCAAGTCAAAGATTTGGAACATAAAGAGCCAGAAGACACTCCTCCGCAGACGCAAGAAGGCCAGAGAATCCAGAAAGTTGAAGATAATGTAAGAAACCTCTGGGACAACTTCAAGCGAACCAACATCAGAATTATGGGGGTCCCAGAAG